TGCCCGGCCCCGGCAACGGCACTTCAGAGCCACTGGGACCAGTTTCCCCGCAGCCACGGGTGGAAGCTGGATGGAGCGCGGGGAACCGGCCTCGCCTGCCTGGATCCAGACCATCCGCCGGCAACTGGGCCGTGGCCAGGGCAGGAGCAAGGGGCAGGCCCGACCGGGGGCCTGGTAGCAAGGACTGTGTCCCAGCAGGGCCCCCTCCCGCGCACGGCACGGCCGGACCTGGGGCACCGGAGCAGACCCATGCGTGCAGCAGCCTAACACTGGGCTGGGCGATGCACGGGCGCTGTCCCCCCTCCTCTGGGCAACAGGCGCCCACACAAGCAGCAATAACCCAGACAAGCTCCCCCGGCCTGGGCGGCCCCGGCCCCCCGCAACCAGGGCTACAGGGAGATTGCTCTGTGCGCCCGATGCCGCAGCACAGGTGGTTGCCGCTGCGCTCCCCTCCATGCATCACATCAGGGATCCCCTGCCCTGTGCTGCAACGAGCCGGAGGTCACAGAGGTGGTTGAGGCCTGGCTCTGCCCTGGCCCCCTTCCCCACAGGGCCAGCCTGCTGCTCGGGCACGGCCCCAGGGCCAAGGGGCAGCCGTGGCTGGCTTCCAATCCTCCAAGCAGGAGGATGGTGCCGGGCCAGAGCTGTTGGCAGAGAGGAGTGGCTGGTAAATTTCCACTGGCAGGGCTCTCCCACGCAGCGCGGCCAATGCTCCAAGCGCCCGTTAACTGGGTCACTCTGCCCTGCGCCTGGCATTCCCGCGCGCTCGCCCTGCTGCCTCGAGCACTGTCGGTTTGTGTTGCAGCCGGGGCGCGGAGGCAGGGCCACCCACGCTCCCTTCCCAGCAGCCAGCGCCACCGGGGACCCTTCGCTCCCTGCAAGCCGACTGCTCCAGCCCGGTGCGCAGGGGTGCGGGAGCTGGAGGGCAAGGGGGTGCAGGGAGCCAGCAGAAGCCAGGGAGCAGAGGGCCAAGAGCTCCGGAGTGGAGGCAGCATGGGTTGTGCCGCAGCTGCATGCAGGGAACAGGGGCCTGCAGCCCCGGTTTCTCTCCCAGAAAGAACAAGGGACACGTATGGGCACATGGCAGGGCAAGGTGGAGGACTGATCTCCGCACAGGCACAGAGGGCAAGTGGCCTGCCCCAGCGGTGCTGCAGGGGCACTCGAGCAGCAGGACGTACCCCAAGGGAGGGGAACGAGGGCAGCTGCTGCACGGCAGGCCCCACACCTTCCCCTGTACCATCTGCATCAGTTGCACCCACCCCTCCGTGCCGCAGCTTCTGCGCCAGCTCCCTCCGCTCCAGGGCCAGCAAGGCCTGAGGCAGGCGATTTTGGGATTGTGGTGGTCTCCCGTTCCTGCCAGAGCTCGCGCACAGGCCAACCCCAGGGTAGAGCGGCTGACGGCTCCAAGGGCACGGCCGGCACAGGGGAACCAGCGCAGGCCCCGCGCGGGTCCCCAGCCCCTTTAAGCACGGCCCCCCCTGGCTGGCAGCGATCACTGGCACATTAAATTTTCAGCTGGTGACAGAGTCAGGTTTCGAGGCTGCAGCCGGGGGGCGGCTGGGCCGGAGCAGCAAGGAGCCTGCGGGAAATTTCCACTTGCCCGCTCAGCTGGCTGGCCACCTTTGCCTCCTGCAGCCGGTGCCATGGGCAGCAGGGTGGGCACCGAGTGGTCCCCGAGGCCTGGAAGTGCCAGGGTCTCTAGTGCCCCCACGCTCCCGGTGAAAGGCATCTTTCCACGGCACCCTGTCCCCTTCCCTCCATGCCCAGGGGTCGAACACGTCTCAGGGCAGAGGGAAGCAGCAGGACTAGGAGGGACGTTGCTCCACAGGCCAAATCACCAGCTGTAGCCCAGTCTCTCTTGCCCCCGTTCTGCAGCTGTAGGACCTGCGAAACCTGCTGCTCCAAGCAAGGCCCAAGGCTGCCGGGCTGTGTCCCTCCCCACCCCTGCCCGCAGCCACCCCAGCAAGTAGGGCAGTGCTGACAGGGAGTAATGCTGTTAATCCGCCAGCCGGGACAGCAGATTAGCATGGTTCACCTTCAGCAAGCACCTCGCTCCCTCTGCTCTCAGCTAGAGACTGCACCAGGCTGGGGGGAGCTCCAGTCCTCAGCTCAGTGTGCAGAGAAGACCCTTGTGCCACGAGGGCCCGAGTCCAGCTGCAGCCTCCAGGCCGCTCCCGAGGACCAAAGCCCCCTCGATCCCAAGGACCGGCCACAGCAGATGCAGAGCCGCGTGGCATCCGGTGACCCCGAGCTGTCCCTCCCCGGGGGGCAGCCATCTCTGGGGTGTAGCTGTGCTGCAGCCGTGCTGCAGCCGGGCACCGCTCTGCCCCTGAGCTGGGGCACATCTCAAACCTCATCTTTCTGCCATCCCACATCCCCCTCCCCTCGCACCGGAGAGAAAGAGACAGCCGTAGAGGGGTTGCTTTCCAATACAGTGAATTTATTATATGTTGCAAAATCAGCATTCAGCTTTTTAGTGTACAAAAGGACACTAGCTCTTTTAAGAAAAGATGAGGCAAGCTGAAGACTCTGCTGCTGCCTTGAAATCGTAACATTTTGGCAAAGTGAAAAGCTCTTTGTAAACTCCAACTCCATGGCTCAATATAGTTGTATCCACAGTACAATATTACAAAGGAAAACACGGGATCAATAAGTTAGATCAGACTTAGGTCACCTACAACTGGTTTCTATTAACCCAAAAAGCACAAAATTTGCCTAGCTTCATAATAGCTAAAAGGTAAAAAAAAAAGAAAGAAAAGAAAAGAAAAAGGCAGATTTGACTACGTTTCTTTAACACAGTCCAAAAAAAGTGAAGCAGAAAATAGTTGAATGCTAATTGGGTCTCACAGTTTGGATATTCATTAAATATTTTCAGTTTTATATTCCAATTTTTAGAAGTTCCAGAATATACATGTAAATGTACACAATACATCTCCGTATACAACTCTGTTTGCAAAAATATCTTATAGCAGGTGTATAAAGATTGAGATCCATCTCCATTTCCTTCCTTCCAAAAAAACAACCCCCCCCTAAAATTGCAAAAACCCCTTTCCAAACACGAAGGAGCAGAACAAGAAGTGTTTCCACGGAAGAATCTGTTCAGCTCGGGGGCCGAACGGCCGCCTCTTCGGCCACTCGAGGTCTGCGGTTCCTTCTGCTCACGAGAGCAAACGGACCTGGGCTCGTTTGTACAGACACCGTCTCTGCTGACCGACACGTGCCAACACCACGAGCCAGGCTCTGGGGACTTCAGGAGATGGTGCCTCGTGGCACAGATCTCGTGCTGTCACCAGGAAGGTGCGGCTTCCTGCCACCGCAGGGAAGGCTGGCGCTGACCGAGCTGGCGGGGAAGCTCTCGTGGCATGCCCAAGGGACCACAGGAGCTTTCCAGGCACGGACCCTATGTCTGCAAACAAGGGGGAGGGAGCCCTGGAGCAGGGAGGCAGCGACACGTCTGGACTCCAGTGCCGTCCACGCGGACGTGGGGCAGCAGGGCTTTGGGGCCCGACAGGAGCAGGATCCAAGCGCAGACAGGGATGCTGGGGCCTTCCCCTGACACTGGTGCTAGTGGGGAGCAGCAGAACCCAAACGCCTCCCACGCCTGCCAGATTTGATGTGGAAGGGGGGATATGCAGACCCACCCTGCTGGGACCGAAGCTTTCGCTTGGAATCGACTCTCCTCGCCACAGGGAAGCGCCCAGAGATGCGTAATGCTGCGGACAGACAGCTGGCCCCTATGCCAGGACCTGCCTTCCCCTGCCCTACGCGGCTCCAACAAGCTCTCGGGGCAGGGGAATGGTGCGAGCCAAGTGTTCCTCGAGACTTCAGATGCTTGCTAGGACTTTATCCTATGGCGTGATCTGAAGGAGGAATAAATGGCAGGGACCAGTCTGCTGCAGGGAGCAGAGCCCTGTGGGCCCTTCTCTCTCCCAGCTCCTCACTGATCCCCTCACTGTCAGGCCTTTGCGATGCCGGCCGGAGGGGCTCAGTGGCCAGCTGGCTGTCCACAGAGCATGGCTGGAGAACCACTGTGCTGGAGCTAGCGTGCTCAACACGGCTCGAGCCGCGGGACATGCTCTCTTCGGCACTCGTCCATCTCTGACAATGGAACGCCAAGATCCCGGGGGAGGGAGCGCGGGGTGGAGATGCGCTAGGATCCTGCTCGTGTCTGGACAAGGCAGGGAAGAGAACACCAAACACTTTAAAAACTATGTACAACTCCAGCAGCGGCTGCCCCAGGCGACAAGCCAACAGCCCTCACCGCAAAAGCCCCGTCTCTGCGGAACCGTCGCATCTGATGGACTTGAGGCCCCAGGGACAGTGGAGCAAAGGGAGTCTCTGACCACCCAAGGCTGGCTTCCTTCCTCCTCCCTGCCAGCGCTCGAGGCAGTGGGCAGGACCCTCGGCTCCGAGCGACGTGGAAGAGGGAAGGAACGAAACGCTGTAGGGCTGGCAGGAGCAGAGTGGCACAGACCGTGGTACAGAGGGCACCTCTGTGCTTGTGGGCTAGTTCCTCATGCCACCAGAGAGAAAAGACTGCAACAAAGCAGGGGGGACGGAGCACGAGCGCCAGGGACTGCCGTGGACATGGGAGCTGGCTGCCACGGCAGGCTCAGGCACCTGCTCCGGCACCCGACTCACTGCTGCAGCTTCTTTGGAAATGTGCAAAACGGAACAAAACAGAACAGAACAGCACCCATCCGAGCCCCTCCGGCAGGTCACTGCAGTAACAAAATAACTTATCTGGGTAGCTACCAACCAGCGTTAGTAATACTGCAGCGAGAGACAGGACAGGTTTGGAAACACTTGGCCTAAAAGGAAAAGGGAGGCACAGGTTTAGAAAAGATGCTCTTTTTTTATACAAAAATAGACCATAGTCTCATTAGCAATTAATAAAATTGGCTGTCTTGGTATAAAACTAGAAAAAAGTCAGACGGGCAGGTCTCCGGCTTCCGGCCTCACACACCGCAGCGGTCGGCCCAGTCTGTGCCACCCGTTCCAAGCGTGCGCTGCAGGAAAGGTTCCAGGTATGAGGCATCTGGCATCAGCGCTAGACTCCAGGGGCAGCGCAGTCTCCTCCGGCCGACACCCGGCCCGGCGGGCGCAGATTGGACAGGACGATCCATCCAAATCCCCCAGGCCTCGCGCTGCTCGTGTGCGGAGCTTGAGCCGCTTGCACAGGAACAGTCGCGGGTGCCGGAGGAGGAGGTGGTAACCTAGCAGCATTCCAGTTCCTCGCCATTTGCAGAACAGAACAGAACAGGCAGTGCCGGGCTGGGACAGCTCCACGCCGCTCCAAACCTGAATCTGAGAAAACCACCAGCTCTTTACCTTTGGGAGTTGCGTTTGCCTGGGGTGAGTTTTCCCTTAAGTGTCAAATGCTGGCTTCAAAAAACAAAACAAAAAAAAAAAAACAGCAGATTTTCCTTTTGTACATTCCAATGTTTGGAGAGGGGATGCTTGAGAGGACCATGCCGGGCACTGCTCCCTGGCTCGGGCCAATTCGCCATCACAAATCATCCCCAAGTTCTTCCAGCTATGAGGCCTTAGTGCTCCTCTCCAAAAGGAATCCCGGCTTGTTGTGGAAGGGGCAGTAATGTCCAGGTCAATGTTTTTACCCTTCCCTGTCCAGATCCTAGAGCCAGGACTAAAACTGCTGTTGGTCATACTCTGCTATCAATTTTTTTATGTGAGCCAGTTTGTTGTGGAGGTATTCGCAGCGGTTCTTCTCCTGACTGTAATTCGGGTTCGTCTGCAGGGGAGAGGGGAAGTGCAACGACAGATGTTAACTCTCCAGTCCCACCCTCCCCTCCTTGGCAGATGGGGAAAGGATCAGAGGACCCCAGGATGTAAGCATCGCTCACAGGGCTGCCACGCGAGTGCTGGATGACTCCTCTTGCTGGAGCAGTGGAGGGGCAGTCGCCAGCCCTGCATCCAACATGCCCCGTGGTCTGGCTGCCCACTCCTGGTTCTCGATTCCTACTCCTCTTCTTCCTCCCTTAAAACGTTCCTGAGCTCTAGTGTGCAGCATGGCACAGCTTCACTGGCAGCACACCCAGGCCAGTCTGCTCTGCCTGCCTCTACCTCACCTCCCTAGACAGCAACCAGGACTGCTGGCATGTCTGCAAGGCATTACGGGCACAAAACGCATATGCCAGTGTCCTCAGCAGGGGATCTGTATGCCCACAGCAGCTGTTACTAGTCATTTTGAGCACAGATTATATCCAAATCCACCAAGAACCTCCAGTCACAGGTACGCAGACCAGCGGGATCTGCCTGCCCTCAGGTCACACCTCCAATCTTCATATTGTCCTTTGCTACTTCTGATGCTGACGGCACTTTAACCCAGGCATGCTTTGACCAGCAATCAGGCACGTCAAAATGCTAACGTGGCTCAGAGATGGATCCACTACTGAGCCACTGAGCACCACTGCAACAACAGAGGGAGCGTGGGCTTCCAAAACCCCGGCCAGATGCACCCCAAGGTAAAGCTTTGCACTGGTAACCTGACGTATGAGAATTACCCGCGACTTGCTTGCTTGTCAAGTGAGGTCCATTTCTTACAACCCCCAGCCCCTGCCCATGGCTGAGGGATTCATACTCACCTTTTTAATTTTCCGGTATTCCTGTAAAATTTGATCATGGATAGTCTGAAAAGGAAAGGATACCATTACCTTTTCCTGCCACAAAAACAGTAACACTGGAGTCACTGTAGTGCACAGCACATCCCAGATACCCAGAGCTGAGAACAGCAAGAACGATCCCCTTTTCCAGAGCACAGTGCTTGTCGATGAGCAGACAGTTAAATTTCCCCCAGAAGTGTAGAGAAAAGCTAACTTAATAGCTAAAAATGTGCACTTGCACATATGCAAAAATAACCGGGTGGCAAAAGCCAAAGGTGAAAAAAGTAGCCAGCTTGAGAGGGGATGGAGTGGGACATGCACAGAATATGGCATGACCACCCACCAGCGATGTAGAGCATGAGCCTCAGCCTTGCTACACTCCACGGGTGCAGTCATGGCTGTGGGAGAGAGCCTTGCTGTGTCACTTGGCTTACAGGCTGAAGGATCAAGCTCACGTGCCAGTCATTTCTCTGGGGCGAGGCGAGCCCCCGTCTCTGCTCCACAGGGAGTTTAATCTACAGCAAAATTGCTGTTTCCTCCACTGAAAAGTCTCGTTTTTCTTGGACCATCAAAATAATCCAACAGAGAAAAGCGAGGGCATTTCAAAGGGAAGGAAGGACATCTGAGCAGGAAGGAAATGCTGCCTAGTACAGTGGGGACCCTGTAAAGAATAGCTTTTTAGTCTCAGCAAAACTTATTTTCTCAAGGTAATGAATAGTTAAAGCTTTTTGAAATCAGTCTGACAGTTTGACTAATGCTGGGCTATTAAGATGAAAGCTTCAGGAGAAACAAATGACCCCATGCTAAGCCCCTTTCCAGCTCCGATACCCTCCCATATGTGTGAATATCATTTTTCTGGCTCGGGTGATGTACTAATAGCTGCCAGCAGGTTTTGGCTGGGGATGCTGGTTGTCTAACTGAGGCTGCTCCCTGTCAACAAGTACCGCAACGTGTGCTCCGACTCAAAATTGAAGGTACTGGGCTCTTGGACAAGCCGCCTGCGAAGCTGTCAGCTGCACGCACACGGCGCATCCATCAGTCTGGGGCTGCCCACAGCACATCCCACACAAACACACGCAGTGCCTGCGAGTGCCCACCTTCTGGCACCCCACAAAGCCGCTACCAAAATGGGAACAGCAACTGCATCCCCAAGTGCTGACGCAGCGATTTGTGTCTCTACCTTGTATTCTTCCGAGCCCTGCGAAAGCTGCTTTAGCTGCGAGTCCAGCTGTGTGAATCGGCGGGTTATCCTTTCTATCCGGGCGTGCAAGTCTCTGTACTCATTGTACTCTGCGTTGAAGTCGTTCTTGTAGCTCTGACGCTGCTCCAAACAGGAAATGGCTGCGTATTTCCTAAAGGGAACAGAGATCAGTTAGTCGATATGAAGGCCTCGTCCCAGGTTACTATGGTGCCAGAAAGCTGAACCAAGGGTCTCTTGGGCGTTTGCCTTCCAAGGCAAAGCTCACTTATTAGAAGTGGCAGCTGACTTGGCTTCCCCTCTCTCATCTCTTCCTTCTTCCACTCGCAGCAAGACGAGATCTTAGGGCACTTATACACGTGACGGACCTCTGCTCCAACGCGTGCTAATTAGCATGTGTCGGAGCAGACTCGATTCTGCTGGAGCATGCTAATTCGCAAGCTCCGGAAGCTTCCGTGTCACACGTATTCTGCATCCCTGTGTTTCAAAGTGGCAGCGGGGTGCTTTAACTAAAGCTCGAATGATCTTTAGTTAAAGCGGCCCTGCCACCATTTTGAAGTGCAGGCCACTGAATACACATGACACTGCGGGAGCTTTAATTAGAGCAGCTCAGAGCTGCTTTAATTAAAGCGCCCCCTCGACCCTGGAGGATGTACAGATGCCCTCAGATTGTTAACCACTCCCCTCCCACAAGTCAGAGGGCACACAGGAAAAGCAGGTAAAAACGGACTGCTCTCACTCGACCTGGCATGAGTTCCACAAAGAGGTTCATACTCAGTACCGTGACTGAAAGGGGGCTAGTGAGACGCACTCTGAACCCCGAGGTGAGCAGACTCTTGCTGCAATGATTTCAGTATCTGTCAGTCAATGTCCTGCAACATCTAAAGACTCAGAAGTTACAGATCGATGCACTTCCCAACAAAACGCGGGAAAGCAGGTTCTCACTTCCCCAGGAAACCCAGCACACAGGATCTCCAACACCTTCAGGACTGCTGGTAAGCAACTGCACTGCCGCGCACTGAGCATGCTGGTCCCTCTCACTGTTGCCATCTATACCATGGGATGCGTTTAATCCTTGAAGACCCTTCTGGCACAGGCAAGGCTCAGCAAGCACTTTTGACACCAAGATGTTATTTTAAGGGCAGGTCTCATGACTTGCTGCCCAGATGGCAGTCCTTGACTTCCAGCATCAGGGAGTCGTGAGAAGAGCTGCTCTACATCTAGCTTTAAGGCACAAGTTTGTGACTCTGGACCCATTGTTTTGGCTTTTTCCTCTGTAACTAATTTGCTTTCCAGACTTTAATATAATCAGCAAGCCTAACCGAGTGGTAATTGGCAAGTCTCAGCATGATGGACCCACTGATATACTTACAATAAATAATCAGGCATTTCTGAAGTTAACGTTGGTACAGTAGAGTTATTGCATGTTCCATTTAAACCTGAAAAATAAAAACCCAGTCACATCGGTCCCACATCTGACAGGGTCATTTATCAGTCCAGCTTCATACACCCATTTAACCAAATGCATATTCCTTGATGCGCACACTGACTGAAAGCAGTGTCAGTACCGTGAGGGGGCCAAAACCTCAGGACTGCCAACACCACACAAACCACTACATTGACAGTGGCCAATGCACCAAGCTGCAAAGACATTTCTGAATTTAATTGGTTTATAAATATCGCTGCGTGCCTGTAAGCAGGGATAACATGCTAATCCCCACACCGGTGAGCTACCAAACATGATTCACAGCGTCCAGATGGGCAGATTAGATAATGGAGCAGGATGTCCACGTCCCCTCCAATCTAGTTCTGTCGCTCATCCCACAGCCCCCTTGGAGATGGGGTGAAGGGATACATGTGACAGTGCCTCGAGGGGTTTCTGATTGCATGTGGCAAACTATTCCCATCACTCATGCAGGTCTGTAGCCTAGGTGAGCTCCAGAGGGCACGCCGGAGCACCCTCCATGCCATGGAGCTGGAATACCAGCAGCCTGCAGACAGGGAGGAGCGGAGAGGACAGGACAGGACCCTTGGGGGCTTTGTAGGGCAACAGAATAGTGCGTGGCAGCAGGAAAGGGTACTACGAGTACACCCAAAGCAGACATCACAGCTTCAATCTAAGCCTAGCTTGGAATGACTGTTTCAGGGGAGGGCACAAGCAGTTTGGAAGGGGACTGGTCCTTTCTGAACTGCGCAACAGTGGTTTCCTAAAGCCACAGAACCCAGCCCCCGTCACATGAGCTGCTGCAGAGCCAGACAACCCGGCCCAGCAATGGCAGCACGCTACCCTCTGGCCGCTATGCCGTGCTCCCCATCTCTTTGTGGAACCCCGAGGAGCTGTCACACGACCCCAGTCCTGAGGAACGCCCTGGTGCAATGCTCGGCCAGACCCAGCTGGAAAGTCAACCTCAGCCCATGAAGCAATGGTGGCAGGTAAGTGGCTCCAAAGGCCCAAAACAGGGGGGTTTCTTACTCCTCCACTCAACCTCTTCCTCCAGTGGCTCAGCCAAGCGAGCAGTGCAACTGCCCGTGGTCCCGTAACACTGAAAGCACGCAAGGGTGGCAGCGTAAGCCCCAAACCAACCCGCATGGCACCAGCAAGTGTTACTCTGGAGCAAGCCCTCCGGGGAATGCAAGAGAGCATGGAAGCCCAGAAGCTCTTTCCAAGGCTAAGCCTGGCCCTGGTTTGACCCCACGGCTGCCAGAGGCTGGAAAGAAAGGAAATCAGCAGCAGGCCTGGGAAAGGGGGTATGAGCCTGGACCCTGCTGCTGGAGACTGGAAACAGTTCGCCCCAAAGTCCTTCTTCCCTGATCCAGAGTAGGGATAAGGTGTTTGATGGGGGCCAAGGTGGAGGCAAAGCACCAGGGACAGAGGAAAGCCAGCAGCAAACAACAGCTATCCCAGAGGTTTCTTCTGTTCGGGAGCGCCACCTGCTGCCTGCCGCCAGGGGACCCAAGGCGAGCGCCGCCTCTCCACATCTCAGCGGCAAATGCTCAAGCGAAGCATCCTGGACTTTGTTTTGTTCCAGTTCCTTGTAATCCCCAGGCGACTGCGTGCCGAACCGAGCCACCCTACATGTTTCATCAACGCCATGCGTGTAGCAGGGCTGTGACAAGGACACCAAAGGACTCGTGTGAACCACTACGCTGCTGTTACTGCTACCACCCTCCTACTTCACGCTCTGGCTTGGGATTTTTGTCAGTGTCAACAGCTCAGAAACTGAGAAAAGGACTTGGAATATTTTGCTATTGAGCAAAGAGTGTCAGGAGAACAGCGTGCATATTCTACAGATTTATGCCAAGGTCAAGGAGGAAAAGGAAGAAAAAAAAAAAGTAGAAGGGAGGGTAGATTTGCACCTTTCAGACTATCCAAAGTAGATCTGATCAGAGCGTCTGAGTTCAAGGGCATCCTAGAACCACTCTAGCAGGTGCAGGAGAACAGGAGACCCAGCAGTGCTTTTCACTGGTGTTAACCGCCTGCTGCTCTCAAGCTCCCTCTTCACAAGGTGCTCTTCCCTTTAACCAAAATACTTCGTTCTATATATGAGAACTCAAGTGCATTGTCCCGACACCACCCAGGGCAGCTAGGATCTGGAAGCAACTTGCAAGAGAAGTGGTGCTGGTTAATACCCTGGGGTGTTTAAGAGGAGGCTGGATGAACACTTTGCCGGGGTCGTTTGACCCCAGCAC